GGTTTGATTTGGTAATTTCGAATAAATTGAGCATCGGGTAGATTATAATAAATAAACTTAACCAACGAATGAGTGAACATCTACCAACTTGGTTCATAAACGGCCAGATAAAAACAGTACGCAGTTCAATCCTGGCGCATCTTATTGATAGTGGTCATACGGTAGATAAATCGAAATCATTTCGAGTGATCTATCGTATACCCCCATCATTTCCCAATGGAGTTCGTTCCCGTCTCCTACATATAGCTGAAGCCATAGGAATCCGTACATATAACCCCAATCTATGTGTACAGAAGAAATTTGTAACCCCCCTATCCCTTCCATGGCCAGTGATAACTTAACTAACGATTAATTTTTATTTCTTTTTTTTTTTTATTTCTTTATTATTACTACTATTATTGATATTCTATCATTAACCTTATTTACTTATCCATTATTTGTTTGGAATTATTCGCCTCTTTACATTTGCATTCTTCACTATCTAATTATTTACACACTTCTTATTACGTAATGATTTTAATGTTTTGTGATAACTACTCCATTTACCCATGTTTGACCTACTATTTCCAATGTTTAACTATTGATAAGACTTAATAAATAAGAACTTTCGTCTAAATTTGAACGAATAGTTTCACAATATTTGGGCGCCGAGTTAATGTTAGACATTAAAGAGAAAAATGTATTTGTAAAATCTCAGCGAATGAATTTTTAATATTGATAAGACTTTTGTTATCGTATTTTATTATTCCTACCTACTATCAGTACACCTGTCTTCCTACTATCAACTTGTACTTTTATCTATTATGTGTGATGACTTATCCTATTTCATTGTAATTACTGATCCAAAATTGCCTTGATTGGTTTAATATTTTCGTATAAATATTACTGTATATTAGAGTAAAGCCTGATAATGATCTAATTGAAAACAGCTGTTCGCTTATATGTGTTGTTCTAATTTTCACAATAATATATTTGTAATATCCCAATGAGTAGAAAAATAAGATTTTCTGACGTTTCGTGACTTGGTGTAAGCCACATCTTCAGAGAATAAATAACCAAATTAATTTTCTACTCGTTGGGATATTACAAATATATTATTTATTTATACATAGTCTGGTTCCGCAATAGTTATGCAAAAATTGTATATATAATTTATAAAAAATTCCCGGAAGTTATCATTTATTTATTCTTAATTCGGATGTAACACACATGAAATCGTTATTTTTGAGGACTGTGTTTTATGAAGATTATATCTATTTGGATACTTTGGAAAGACATGACATTGCATGGAACAGTCATTTTAGCCGATCAAAATAAAATTTTGATACAATCGTTGCATAATAATCTCTGCCACTAAACTTTGGATGTTATTAACTAAATTACAAATAGATATCTCATACATATTGGCAATTATCAAAATGATGATCCCAGTATCAGTAGTACATGCAGAGTGACACAGTGAGTTTTTGTGTGTTAACTTCATTGCTCTATAATATTCTAACTACATCTGTAACCATTTATTTCATGGAGTTATATAAGTAGATATTAATACTTGTTCTATACCAGCTCATTAAGAGTCGAATTTTCTAAATTTTAAAGTTATTTAACATTTCCGACAGAATAATCAGTCGGTAAACACAAAACTGTTCTTTTAACCCCGTTCACTATGGTTAGATAGAACACACAAACTAAAGATTTTTCAAATTTATTTTGCTCAATAGTCATAAAGAATTCCCGCAAGTTACCATTCGTCTAATCTTCAGATATAACAATAATAATAGTGTGTACTTCACCTATTATTAACAAAAAGCTTATTCCAGGAGAATAACAAACAGATTTTATATCGTAGTTTAAGAACATCTCATAGATTATAACTAAACTACTTAGCACAAATTTAAAAAAGTAATTCTACACCATAATATATAGATTGTAGAACAAAACGATAAAAATAGATAAACCCAGATATTACCGATAAAATGAACTGACAGATATACTTGAGAAAAATAGACCAAGAAAGATTAGTCAATTCTTTTTTCACCGTCCTCTGGGTCAACATCATCAAGCAACTGGAATTTCGTTGTATAGAACACACAAACTAAAGATTTTTCAAATTTATTTTACCTAATAGTCATTACATTGTAGTTTTAAGCAAGAAAACTCAATCAGTCCCTTCTTTTTTTAGCCGAATTGAAATCGATGAAGAAAGTGTGTGTATAGAGAATGTTTTATACATATTTGTTAAATATATATCAACCCTAACCATAAGCCAGTTGACCTGAATTTATTTTGACTGGGTTTCCAACGTTTTTGTATATTTACATGTTTTGTTCATCTGTATTGTCTAAGTTATAACTGGTACACACATTTTCAAATAACAGTAGGTTGATTAATGTATAAATGTATATAAGTAATAGCCTAAAACACAGTAGATGATGGTGACTAAGCTGAGCATTTATACTTCATTACACACATAACCTTTAAATTATACTGTAAATAATTTCCATTATTTAGTGCAATTATTTGGAGAACCAGAACAAATCAAGTGGTATTATTTTACAGAAATGTAAACATTTGTTGTTGACGTTAGGGTTTTAAGCTCGACTCCGTGTAGGGTGATGCATTGTGTACTGCTGAAACAGTTTTCTATGATTTTCAACGGTTTTTCATCTTACTTCCATTTGTGACGAAAATTACCTTCGAAGTAAAAGTGAATCTTCACAAAATTATCTTAGCTGAATTACTATCAACAAAACAGTAGTAATAAGATAGAGAGAGAAAAGAGGAAAGAAGGAAATAGGCATTTTCGTTTACTAAGCTATGGAAATTACGTAAAAATGAATTTAACTACTTTCTAGTAATAAAAACAAAGTAATAATGTTTTAATGAGTAAAACACTTTTGTAATGTTTTATTAAACAAATATTAACCAGTTTATTTATCATTGGCTGAGCATGATATAAATATGTTGGTAGTTGTTCTACTTTCTGCATAAAGCAATACATTTAGCCTAACATTTCTATCATCCACTTACAAACTTGTCTTTCCTTAACGCTAAAAGAAATAATGTGAGAAATACTGACTAGAATAGTATCACTTACATAAATGGAGACAATTATTATTCAGTTAATGGTTTCAATCCATCATTGTAGTACCCATTTTTCTATTATTGAAAATACACAATGATATTAAAACTAGAATTTAGTTAGTTAAACTTTCCACCCTCTCTAAGCTAGATTCATTACTTTACACTAATAATAAATAAATACTAAACTTATGCAATAATCAAGAGGCTTTGATTTTTCTAAAAGCTTTTTTAAGTTCAAATATTGTCCATTTGATACAGAATTAGCATAGTTAACTGTGGAAACGATCGATCAGCACAAAGCCCATTCTAAAGTAATATCGGTTGAAGGTATTTCTATAAAGTTAGAAATGATTAAAAATAGTTTGTTTATTATTTGTCGATATTACTATTATGATTTGACTTGATAATATGACAATGAAACAATGCGTCTTTGAATAAAGAATCGAATAAAATACTATGAGTTTGTTAAGATAGAAAAACCACAATGAGTTCTAAAACTAAACAAAATCAAAGGATTATGTAAAATAAATAGTGAACTTTGAAATGTTTTAGTTAGAAGAGATGAAAAAAATCGATTAACGAACGCACAGAACCGTTTCCGTGCAGTAGGTTTTTTCGAGTATAATCTATTTTACATTCGACAGATTTTATTACTCGTCTCAAGGAACATCTAAACCCCACAAAAAGACCTCTTTGTCAAAATGAAGAAAAAAGAATTGATAGCGGGACAACGAATTGATACTAAAATATCACTGTTCATTAAGACGAAAGACAAGTGGCTAAATCTTTTCATGTATTATTAAACCCTACTACATTAAATGAAACCGAAGACTTGATCATCTATATAACTGAATGAATGATTATAAACTTATAAATTAAAGTGTTTATTCATCTTACAAATATTTCACCTTTTATTCTACGCCCACTCACATACACAAAAACTTGTCTGATATAAAATCCTTTTTGAACCGAATTATATCATGTTGACCTTGTCTGTTCTATATATTTACATTTGATTTATTTCTCTATACTATTTACATTTGTATTAGTTTGAAGAATGGTTATTCATTCACTAAAGAAGCAACCATAGACCCTCAAATCTATTTGATCTAATTAATTGTAATTAGTTATTTCGATTGTTGAAATTTAGATACTGATTTGCATTATCAAATATATTTTATGAATAAACTTTTGCTTATTACTGAAATGAGTGAGAACCCAAGTGGGGAAGACCAATTTGTTGGTTAATACGAAATTGCACAATAAATTGGTAAAATATGAGAACCATACATTAAATACTTCATTTTTAAATCTTCCATCAATTGTCCTTCACATTATGTATGATTCTTTCAATTCATAATCACTTTCTATTTCTCTCTGTTTCCTTCAACTCGATCTTTTTAGCCTTCTGCTGCCATGCATTGGTGTTATATACTACTTATGTCGACAGATACAAGTAGCATACAGCATATTATTATTAATGCCAATTTCGCCCTGATCAATTGATAATTACCTTAATAACTAGTTTGAAAGTTATGATTATTTAATTTGGATGATCAACTTCTGATAAAATGTATCTTTAAATATATTACACTTGATACGTTAATCCCACTTATGATATGGAAGAATTTTAGTCGATAATCTTTAACCAATAAACACAACTGAACACTGTGAACTTTCTTCATTTTGTGTTTTCTCTACATTTTCTTTTGTGATAATATTGACATAATTATAACACAGTAAACAGATCACATTTGTTAATCATTCTTTTCTAAAAGGTCATTAAGAACATCAACATTCTTGTGGAAGAAATAACTATGCGAATTAAAAGCAAACAAACAAACAATTGATTTATCTGTGCAGATACCATAATATTAATAATTTTTATGTATATTATTTATATGAATCAAACATACCTTATTTGATGTGCTATAGCTAGAAATGCTAAACCATCACGCCATGAATGTGTAAAATTCGTTAAGCTAATACCAGGATACCTGTAAATATATCATTGGAGATAAAAAAAATTATAACACAACAAAGATAACTTAAAATTATGGTAATATCAGATAGGATTTTAATAATGTCAAATTATAGCTAGTAGTGGTATCAGAATTAGACATCTTGTCCCATTTGATGTTCATCAGTTGCATGTATCCGCATATCAATGTTGATGTTTACGATGTAATTCACATTAAGTATTTATTGTTTTAAATGCCAACATACTGTTCACTAAGCTACCGGGTCTAGATAGCCAATAATTGGTTCAACTAGATTGGCGTTTATATTCTCCTGTCACCGGTGTTCAGGACTGTTCATTGTTCCAATAACGTCGGAAACGCTTATTACTTATACTCGAAACGAGGGACTTCTGCGATTCCCATGACGCGAAAGTAAGAACACAAAGACTGGTATGAGTGAAGATTTATTAACCCGAAAAACACGTCGACGACGGCTCTAGTCGAAAATACACTCATTTATATATTGATTCATACATCCATTTTTGATGAATAATTAGAATAAAATTACATATAACAAATCTTATTCTGAGCATAGTTCATGTCAATTAAATACAAGAATATCGTATATTATACAGAATAAAATATCATACGAGAAAACAAAACTGATTACTACACTGCATAATCATCACATTGAATTAAAACTTAATATTGAATAAAACTCGTAGTAAGTAAATCAATCGAATTTTGAATTTTCTTCCCATCACATCATCTCCATTTTTAAAGACTCAAAGTTTAGATCCTGACTTTATTCTCCCACACGAGATAATGTTGGATTCTCATATCCCCAAGTTACAGTTAGTGTGACTCTATTTAAAATATATTTCCCGCATTGAATAGAGAGTTCACTAGAATTGACTATATGGTGAAGATACACGACACTTGATATTAGGTCATTAGGATTTGATTCTTCTGAAACATTTTCATCAAATTTCTTGAAAGTCACACTAGTAGATAATGGATCACCAAAATAATCCACATCTATCAAAATTTAACTAAATTCTTGATCATCATTTGATGCGTCCGATAAATTTTTCTCATTTTTGCAAGAAATTTGATCAAGAACATGTGAGTCATTAAGAAAACTCATATCTGGTAAAACAACTAGAGAACCCCGATAAGTAAATTCATCAGGAACTTTCGTCGTAGAATGATGAGCTCCATTTGATGTAACTGTGTTGATTATGCTGCTTGATTTATTTTCCGTTTATTCGTGGGCAGGTACAGCAAACGTTTCATATGCATTTAACAAGACCCCGTCTTTCCGTGAGCTGGACAAATCACTACTTGTATATTGTGTTTCGGAGATAATGGGATTTGAACCATGTGCAGGACATGTTTCTGAAACGGAAATCGGAGACCACTGAGCGGATCATGTACGATTGCTAATGTTTCGTTTAGATTACTGCTTGTCGAGCATTTATGGATGCGTTTACTGACACATTCATCCATTCTGCAATTATTTTTTAGCTCTGTATGCAATTTTGAAATTAGTTCATTAACTCCCGTCATATCTCCAAAGAATGGATGATTCAGCAGCTGTGTGTGTAATTTGTCTATAAATTCCAACTGATTCTTTTTAAAACGGTGCTGTTGTCACTGAAATAGCAACTGCAATTGATCGAAAGGGGAGAGTCATTTTCTGTAATGAAAAATACTGTATGACTAGTTAACAACCCATGTCGTTCAAGGACACCGACGACAATTCTGTATGCTAATTATCTTGGGTTTTTTTTCACCCCATCGCCACTGATATGTCTTCTTTTTGAACGCCAGATCCGGCTCCTAAACTCTGCTAGTAACACCGAAACACAAATAACATCCGAAAATAAGTAATTCTGTATCTTGGCCAGTTTGAGTTTTCATGATCTGGTTATAAAAATCAAATTTTCCAGTTATAGGATAGCAGTAATTATCTTGAATTCTTAGAAATCACTTTTAAATCTGAAAACATACATGATAGTCGTATGTTGCTGATAATTTACAGAACAAAAGTTACTACTCTTCCACTAATCCCTCGCTCATTACCAATTGGTATATTATCACGTTGTAATGTCATTAATTAATTTTTTTCGTTCAGATTACATTTATTTCACATGTTAAAAGTTTCTAATTTCTTTATTTCCCAAAAACATTTTTTAAAGTCTTCCTATGAATTAAAAAAAGCAATACCATTTGGGAAAATTAACAAATCATCAAACATTGCTACAATATCCCAAAATCTGTAAATTTAATGGTGAAGTCTATTGCATAACTCAGTTGGAAATTCTGTAATAAGTCTTTTGGTGTACTTCAAATGAAATAATCAAATTATATATTATTTTACTTATGATGAATAACTTCTCGTACGATATCAAATTCAAGTATAAAATAAGTTTCTTAGTCAAATTCTAGTTTTTACTACAAAAATCATTATTATAATTATTACTGTTATAAATGGCATTGATAGAACTGTTTAATTATCGCGTGTGGGATTACTTGTGCACATTGCTAAGGAGTCCCATACTAGGACAAAACAGATATCAAGTGCTTTTTGGTTCTAAATGGTGATTTAGCTAAGTTTGTGCTTTGAACTTTAAAAACTCTATAATTTCCATAAATCTCCTATGCTAAAACTGTAATTGTAAAATAACGTAGTTAAGTTTTATTTTCTTTGTTTGACAGTGACGTTTTCACTTTCTTTCATAAGAATATCATTAAGAGAAACATCAGATTGGAGTGAAGTATGAGAATTACTCCATAAGTGACAAGTAGCTTATTCAGTCCATGCAGATCAATAACGTCTTCGGTTACGTAAAATTCCAACCGCAAAACAAATCAAACAACAAACTATCATTCTCGTTAGTTGTTAATGAGTAACAATAAAACAATAATAAAACAAACTACCCCCAAACTCTATTTAAAAGAGTGAAGACTCACTGCAATACATCTGTCATGTGTAGAAATGAAGATATCAGATGACTGTTTTTCAAACAACTGCTTTGAAACAGCCCCCAATCAGGAAATGTTACATCGGACAATGAGTTTAAATTCTTCTTCTTTGTTTACGTGAACATCGATTCGCCAACAAACACACAACATATCATACACATAGTTCCCTTTATTATTTTAAAGAGAGCAAGAACAAAGGTTGGTGCAGAATAATATGAATTCATTTTATTTCGTTAGGTTCTCATCAGCTGCTTACAACCTAAAATATTTGAAATTCAACGTTATTACAATATTGACATACATCAGAGGGTGATGAAGGATGAATACAAGTAACATGATGTAGCAAAGATGCCGTTAGAGTTAATGAGGACCTCATTAACTCTATAATATCGTAATATCTGTAATAACGTTGAATTTCAAATATTTTAGGTTGTAAGCAGCTGATGAGAACCTAACGAAATAAAATGAATTCATATTATTCTGCACCAACCTTTGTTCTTGCTCTCTTTAAAACACAACATATCTATTTTTATATCAACACATGTAGATAACTGTGGACAGTTATTTAACTGGGATAAGATTAGAATCTTAGATAAAGCCAATGCAAAGGAGATAAGAGAATTCTTAAAAGTTTTGAACTCAGGTCAGTTGGGAATCTATAAACACACTAATCTGAACCGAATTTATTAACCACTTGAAAAATCCTAAACAACGATTAGTTCAAGAACCACCTTAGTGTGAAAGATAATCAAAATAAGTATTTAGGTGACGATAAGACTTGTGTTGAGGAAAACCAGCCAAATATGTAATCGGCAAAACCATAACTTACGAGCAAACCAGTCCGACTTAAGGTTACATATCTTGGATTTTGCCTCGAAATTCATTCATCCATATGGTCAGATAGGATTTCAGCATTACAGTTGATGTCAGTTCACGATAAAAACTCGAACTCTAATTCCTAACATTATGTTCTCAAACTAAGTCCCGATTCTAATTTCTCACACTAATTTATAACCCTCTTTAGACCCTAGTAAGTAGGTTAATTTTCCCAACGTCACTTTGGTCGTCCAAGTTGCTAGTCACTTACGGAATGATTCTTACAGCTCATTTCTATTTAAAGCTTGTGTTGGCGATGTGGTTTAGAGGTGTAATGAAAGATTCACGACTGAATAAAACAAAATATCAAAGATTAAAGTATTTCAAAATATTTAGTCATATAAAATCTGGATCGTTAAAATAGATTAAACTGCAGGATGGAGATCAACCAATAAATGGTAATCGGATTAGCAGATTTGTATGGCACGGTTTAATCAATAACAGTACTAAGATAATATTCAAATTTCTCTTTACCATCTCATAACTCGAACTCTACTTCTAGCTACTATCTGAAAAAGAGCACTTCTAATATTAAAAAATATATTCAATAATAAAAACAACAATAATTCTCCAATATTTTAAATCTTGATGACCCATACATAAAAAATAATTTAGATATTGTAGGATAATAAGTTTTCAGTAGGTGATACCGAGAACCGTACGAAGCCCATAGTCTTATGCTTTGGTTTTAAAAGAGTTTGTTTGTTATTTACTTCGAACACTTGATTCTTAAACTTTAACTGTCATTAGCTCTAAGTGTTACGTCGAATTTTTCCAGAAAATAACATATTACAAACATTTACTAGATTTATCAACAAGTGAAGGAAGGACTTTTGTTCGACAACTAAGTATGGTACTCACCCTTCGGTCACAGCAATACACCAAGCTAGTAACCGTTTATCCTGACTTATTAACCATCGATCTACACATGGTGAACGTGTTGATACAAGAGCAGCTGGCGCTGAATGACCAGTCGATGAAATACTTTGACTTCTTTTAGTTATTGTTGAGCCTGATGAACTAATTGATCCAACTAAATTTGTTGATGGACCAGTTCCAGCTCGAATAGCAACGATTAAAATCCATAACGTATCTAAACCAAGAAGTAATAAACTGTATGCAGTTGTTCTGGAACTCGGTGAATATTCCTTGAGTAGTTTTTCCGAATCAACTGTTGAGTTTTGTGTAAATTCAGAGATAGCTGATTGAACAACAGTGGCTATTTCATTCTGAAAAAAAATGTAATTTTTGATGAATTAGAAAATGAAATGAAGAAAACATATTTAAACATGAAGACTAAGCATTTAAAATTTGGGATGTTTACTTCCTTTATAACTGTCAAAATCAAGTATTGTTGGTTATCATGAGTTAATCTAATGCATTACTACACAAGTCGACTTAGCGTTTATATTAGAAAATATCTATCAGTAGGATAAGAGATGAGCACTGGACAATGGATGATGAAGCAGATCTTACTTATCAAATGATATATGTATATAGAACAGGATAGCTTTAAGATCACTTCCTCTTTAGCTATAATAAACGGTAACTAGTAGTATACTGTATAATTTATCATTAGAGAGCAAACATTTTGGGAGTCATCAACTAGCTAACATATAAATAATATATCTACGTAAATCAACTCAATAAACAACGGATAAGGTGAGCACAGAATATGAATCAATTGTTCAATCGTTCAGTGAATTTTAACTAAACACATTAAATAAACAAATTGATAAACAAAACGATAAAGAATTCCGTGGAAAAGTATATTTTTCTCAATTATCGCAGTGGGTAATAATGCATACATAACAATGAATTCATCTAAATCAGTTTGTTCACTCTGAGCTTTACAGCTCACAGTAATTTCAGTAGTTTCGAGCACCTTAAATGGAGAACCTTTGTTTATTTTTCTGTGCACGTTAGTGTTTGTGAATCAAACATCTCATGGAATGATTTCTTACCTCCAAATAACTTTTAACTGATATTCAATTAGTTCCTTATGTTATTCGAGAATGTATATTGGAATCAACTCCGCGTGACAAAATATAAAATAACTAAACATATTGTCTGGTCATTTAATTGGGATTACATGAAATAATTGATTAAATTAAAATTTAGTTTGCAAATACTTTATTTTCACTTCTTTTCCTTAAAAGAAAATAATATTTTTTGATAGTTGAGATCATGAGTCAATTGAAGCTAGACCACCATGGAAAACCTGGAAGCAGTAGACGGCCGTTTCGTCCTATTGTGGGACTACTCAGCAGTGCTCATATACGATCTCGCTTCGCGAGATTCGAACCCAGAGCCTATCAGTCTCCCGCACGAATACATAATGTGTCCACAAAATAAACTATTACTTATAAATAGTAAATTTTCGCAATACAAGGTGAGATATTTCAACGAGTTTTTCGGATGACTTCTTTTCGTTTCATTAGTAAACGTAGACGAGTAGACAATTCACGACGAAAACATGGTTAAAAAAACAAATAGAATAAATTCTACGAGGTCTAACAAAAGGTTTTATCGATCAGTCTTATTACTGCTATTTAGGCATACACTATCTAAGAAGCATAAGAGTGCATTATGTGTATGTATTCATACCTGCACAGATGTAATTTGTGCTTGTACATATGTACGTAAAGACAGGCTTATAACTTCCAAATTATACGATCAATAAACCAGTAAATAAGATGTGCTACATATATATAAAGACGCAAGACTGCACAAGTACACAGAGATTCATTTTACGAAATCCAATATAATTACAGAAAAAGTATGGGACTTTACAAAATCGTGTTTAGACAGGATATTTCAATTCACTTTCTATGACTAGACTTAAGTGTTTGGGTAAATGGAACTAAACGAAATGACCACAGGTCAAAGGTTAAGGAAATTTGAAAATGTAAGACTGTGTTTGTTTTAAAGTGCACATCATTAAAGGGTATTAGAAATTTAGCTAGAATTCCCTTAGTCAATGTAACTGATGACAAAATATTATACATATAAGTTTAAATTGCATTTACACCATGGGAAATTTTGCATTTTATTTTTAAATATATGATTTTTTCAACCCATCTTAGAAAATTTTCTAACCCGTTTCGCCCAATAAAATGAATAGTTTTGAAACTGAGGATATTGGTTATTGTTTTTTGAAAAGTAATATAAAAAGTAATAATTTCTTCAATATTCACATTTTCTCATAACTTTAAATGTTAGTAATTTACCTAGCACTAACCATATGGTCTTTATATCCTAGATTTAAGTAGATCATTGTTATTATACTGCTTCCTCAAGGGTTTACTGACTCCGTTGTATCCTCAGGATGTCTTTAATATACGACAAATGTTCTCAGTGTAGGAGATAATGATAAGTTGTAAAGTCAAATTACATCCTTTGTTGGATTTTGAGAATCCAATGGATGATAATAATAATAATCTGCATTAATTTTTCTGAGTAAATACAGATCAAATAAGTTTCACTACTGTTTTCTTGGATGAAGCTGATTTTGATGAGACATTGTTCAATTAATCGTGGAATCGGATAAAAAAGGTTACAATCTGAAAAAACAACATTCAGCTGTCCTTTCATCAGATCACAGATCAGTAATACATTTTCATGGTTCATTAATTATCGATACCACACCGCTCACAGTAATAATAGTACATGTTAACTTTAATAATAATTCTGAAACATTATGATTGACAAATTGATAAATCAAAGAATTTTATGAAAATAAAAACATGTTAAAATTAAGAGCAATCAATTTTCAGTTCATGAGATTGATCTTAATAGGACTTAGAAGTCTAAGTGATAATACACTAAACACAGTATATCAGATTAGAGCCTGTTTATGTACACTTAACACTATCTGTAATGTATGCTATTTATGCTGACAGATAAATGTAGTATGTAGCCACGATCGGAAGTGGAATACCTGGCAACAGAAGACTGAATTGAAGAGAACAGAAAGGAGTCCGGAGAGCAATCAAAGTAACAACTGAATTAGAGGAATAGTATAGTATGTAAAGGACAACGCATAGAAGATGTGCAAATGATGTATTTATTGTATGATTTTCATATTTTATTAACTCACTGTGTAATTTTGCATGAAACAATAAATTAGTTAAACCCTCCAAGTTTTCGTTCAGTACATATTCACATTCTCATTACTTACACACATATTTCCTATTGTCGGGACAATTAACTACTTGAATCAACAAAACGGAAAAAAAAATTGACTGTGAGGAAATTGATATCACTCTTTATCTCAATATCGCTTAACAACCAGTTGTTTCATATGGCGTTCGTATATAAATAATGTAAAATTTCCATTATATTAAAACATAGATATATGAACGAAGAATACTCTCTTCAGTAATTTCTCTTCAAGTTTTACTATTATATAACCAAATTAATAATTCGTAAAGTCGACCAATTTAAGGCAGTTACAATTGTAAATGATGTACTATGCCTCAAATCTCGTCGATTTTACGTATTATTAGTCTGGATATATAATTGTAGGGCATGAAAAGAAATTACTGAAAGGAGTATTCTTCGTTCATATATATGTTATAATTGATGTATTTTTTTTCTAAAGTTACAATTTCACATTGTATGGCAATGAAACAGTCTGATAGATTGTTTTAAAAGAGTAAAATTCTAATGTAAAAGTGCAAATTTTGACATCCAGTCAAAACAGTTTATATATGATGAATTTAAAATAATCGAATTACAATAATTCACCATTTAAAAATAACTAACGAATTATTAGTTATAACAAAAACTGGGTTCCTAATTGCATGAGTACACATCTTGAAGTACAAGTTAACTAAACACTTATTATTGATTAGGTATAATCATACCCCTGAATTTTCAACAATGGGGATCAAGAATAACACTTGTTTAGTTGAGTTCTAGTGTACTTCATCAGCACAAATTGATCTCAACAAGAATTATGTAACGACGTATTAAAACCATACATACGGAAATTTAGTTGCATCAGTCACTTACTTAAGATTTGTCAATGAACTTAACTAATCATTTAAAGTACCTTTATAGAAAATTCATTATATATGTAAATTATATTTGAAACAATCTCAGCGATTGAAATTTAAAATAATTCCAACGTTTCGTCCAGCCAACTTGTCTGGAGTATCCCGTCGTTTCACTAATCGCCTGTTTAAGCAACGTGTTTTCAAGATACCCCATAAAAATATTTGCCATGATTGGACCTAGTGGACTTCCCATTGCTACACCATCGATTTGACGATATATGGTGTTATTAAACTGGAATTGAACGTCTATGTCAATAGTTTCAAAAACTGGTGTATTGGTAAGCAAAGATATTACATCAGAAGTAACCATGAACTTACCGGCAACATTCGTACAATTTAGTCTATCAGAAAACTGGAAGGAATCTCTTAACGTATATATTGCTAATCTCTGACATGCCGGTTCTAGTTGTTCTGTTGGCCAGGGTGCAACTTTGTGATACGGTGAGTTGATCATTGATAGGATAGGTTTAAGGAAAACGTCATGTTTGTGAACTTTTGGTAAACCATACATATGAGGTAGACGTGAGCCATGTGGTCTTAGATAATTGTAAGTAGAATTAGAAATCATTTTCTTTTTTATAAGTTCTCTAAGCATGCTTGTGATTCGTTTTTCTGTTGAATCAGTTATACTTTATTTGGATTTATCTACCTTGAATCTCAGCCGATCGTCTAGGATTGATTTTATAAATGAATAAAGGTTCAGGTGTCGTCCTAGTAAATACAGCTCATTATATCACTAAGATGAAATCAATCCTAAACGATTCTCACTTGAGAATTTCATTTGAATAATTTAAAACTATCTTTATATATCTTCAATGAACAAATCACTGTTGTATGTTTCAATTTTTCAGATAAAGAAACAAATAAGATGAAAGTCAAGGATTAAAAAGAAATTCTAAATGAAAAGAACTTTTTACTCTCTCAATCATTAAGTGAATGAAAAAATATATGTTTATTACTGGAAATATTTTGAACATTCAAAAACATGAATTTAATATAAGTGAATGGACATATCATTTATTTTCAGAAGAGATTTTGTGGAGATTTTAATTAATTTCAATAGTTGAAATCATGAGTCGATTGAAGCTACACCACCATGAAAAACCTGGAAGCACTGGACTACCGTTTCTTCCTAGTATGGGACTCCTCAGCAGTGCTCATCCATCGCGCTCGCGCGCGAGACTGATAAGTCCTGGATTCGAATCTCGTGGAGAGGGATTCGTAGATGTGCATTGCTGAGGAGTTCCACAATAGAAAAAAAACGGTCGTCCAGTGCTTCCAGGTTTTCCATGGTGGTCTAGCTTCAATCGACTCATGATTTCAGCTATTGAAATATATTTTATTTGTAAATATTAACAACTGTGAATAAAGTCTAATAAGTGTAAAATATACTACTTATATAACAAAAATAATCTTTATGTATTCATTTGTATAAATATTAGTCAATTAACAATTTAGTATTATATTACATGTAAACAATTTTAATAATGATATATTTTAACAATTTAAATTCAATTTTGTTTAATTAACATTCTTTAATTATTTAACATTGATCATGATTGTCTATCAACATGTAATTTAAATATTTCAAGATTAAGTTGTTAAAATTTAGTAATTAGAGTAAAAAACAAAAAAGGAAAAAAAACATTTAAACTATAATACTTTCAATTAAAACTATTTTTTAATTAACTTACAAATAAGTTTATAGTCAGGAAAAAATTTTTTTTAGAAAAAGAATTATACAGAAAATTTGCCAATAGTAGTGTGGTGTTATTTTAAAAAAAAGTGAAATTAAATAGGTTAACTTAAATTCCATCCACATTTGATACTAATTGATAAATTAATCATACTCAGAAATCACAATCAGATTTTTCTTACTATTATGAAAATCTCTCAGTTATAATTGTAAGTTTTAGGTTTTATTCTATTTGTGGTAACATTCTGCACATATATTGAATTTTAATAACTCTATAGTTTATGATAAAAATCAACTTTAAAATGAATAATTTCAACAAATCTCTAGTTTAAATTAATAATAACCATAGGGTTGAGATCATAACTCAATTGAAGCTAGACTCCCATAGAAAACCTGAATGCTGTTTCGTCCTATTGTGAAACTCATACATGATCCCGCCCGGCGAGATTTGAACCCAGGACCTGTCAGTTTCGTGCGCGAACGCTTAGTCTCTAGACTTCTGAGCCAACATCGATCCTAGGTTCAAATCTCGCGATTCGGGATCGTGAATGATCACTGCTGAGGAAACCAACAGTAAGACGAGACGGTCGTCCAGTGCTCCCTGGTTTTTCGTGGTAGTCTAGCTTCAATTGACTCATGATCTCAACGATTGAAATTACTATACTATCCACAAAACCCCTTATGATACTAACCATAGGGTTATTTGTGAATAGTTTTAGAGATGATCTTTCGAATATCAAGTTAAAATCTATTATCGATTACTTTCAGTATTGTCAACAATGACACAGATACAATTAACGACATTGAGTGATGTTTACACTATATTTTTGGTTGACACTGAAAATGTTAAGTGTAAAATTCTGAATCATTAATTAGAAAGGCTTGTACTCTAAAAAGCTTATGAAATTTCTGGTTATAGAAAAATGTTGATGAATAATTTCTATATCAGAATGATACAGCCACCTAATACACCACGATTTAAGTGGAATCGTAGCAGGTATCAGTTCATAATGAAAACTAATCTTGAATAAATAATTTAAAGGAACCCCTTAACTTTTGTGAAAAAAATAACCAAAACCGGAACTGCTTTAAATTTTTTTATATATGGTTAGCGCTATATACGAAGGAAGACTAAAGGAATGTTAGTTTCCAGGACTATCATCATATACATATTATTATTGCAACTGGGTTATTATGTTTATTCCTTTTTATTATAAGCTCTCGATTAACTGATTAATTACTGTTGTGTGATTTACTATTCAAAATCTGTTACCAGTTTCCTCTATTTACAACTACATTTTAGCTTGATCATGCATAATTGTTACTTTTATTTTAGAGTATGATGTGGTCTGGTCTCGTATGTACATAAATGAATGTCTGAAATTTAAAAACGATCTTGGACTAGTAATCATCGGTCTTATATTCCTTCTTTTTGTTCGAGACTGATTACTATTGGACGAACCATCAAACATAAGTATCAGTCTTCTTGTCTTTGTTGCGTATTGGTTGATTCAAGTCAACCATGAGTATTGGTCAGTGTTAGGACATATCACCTAAGAAACAAAACTGCATTACATTCATAAATGATAACACCAGTTTTGACATAATTTACAGTATCAAAAAAGAAAGAATAATGAATTTTTCTTTATTATTTCATTACAGGTGATAAAGTTTCAAGAAGTAATTTTTGCCAAGCAATTATACGTTTTGATCTAACTTGAGTATATGCATTAAAAACGTTCATAGTTTTAATACTATTATCCAACTACTTGGGATATGTGTTTTAATTATTTAAATAAAGGGAAGGTACAATCAAAGTGGGAATATATTGTGCCTTAAATTGCGCATATGATTTTAAATACTTTATGATATTAATTATAAAATTAGAAATTGATAGAATGAAAATCAGTGGTTTACTGTTTGTTCCTCTACGACAGCTGATTTACATTTAGACTGCTGGTTTAAAATAATCTAAACTGCTTAGAGAATGAAATTACATGAGGCAGTTTAAGAATTTCTCAGTCCTATTACGAAAAATAATTTTGTCAGAATCACAACTATATCGTACCAAAGAGGAAAAACAAGTGTGATTTTAACTAATTACTTTTAATTTCATGACGTTTAGCAGAGGAAGAAGTTCAATCATGAATAACCTGATAATCTTTGATAACCATAAGAAGTCCATGCTTACTACTTATAAGTAAGATGTGCATGAAATGCATAAACATTCAACTGTTTATTCAAATATTTTAGAGTATATGAATATAGAAAAATAACTTCGATTTACTAATAAATATTTTGTTCGATGAAACGACTCTATAACTACAAATCTAGAATTTTTCTGCTTAAACAGACAAAATTGTCCTTTCGATCATAATTGTGACTGATTTAAATTGAATAATGGACATTTTAATTTCTGATAAAGCGAAAGACCTGTTTTAAATGCGACGATTACTGCTACAGCAGTTTTGTTTTATATTGTTTACAAGTGCCTCAGAGAGACAATACTTAGTGATTGACTTTTATTAGTTGATCATGTTTATAAGTTTGACCTTATTAGTTGCATGTTTTTGGAAGCTGAAATAAACAAATCTATAAATTTAGCTCGTATTCCAACAAATGTATATATATATATATATATATATATATATATATATATATATCACTCTCTCACCCCATATAGCTTTTCTAGAATAGTTATTGCACGTTCCAAATGAGGGATATAATCTGGGAATGTCTGTTTACTCTAGAAAGAAAAAATTAAAAAACAGGTAAGTTTTAGGTAAATTAACAATATTTACGTAATTTTTATTATTTTATCTTAATTAATATATTTTTATCCATTGTATGCAAGTAACATAGTAGTTAAGATTGACGGTTTAATCGCGTTCCATATATTAGGAAAATTATTCTTTACAGATATCATTCTATTGACTATGTGCTGTTAACCGATCAATGATATATTTTAAAGTTTCATGACTGGATTAAAGAAATATTGTCTAATACAATAAGTACTTGTTCAAATCTTCAACTATTCGATAGCACTACATCTCATCTTTTCAACGAGATTGATTTATAAACCATAATATCGTCCACTACGCTAAACATTGTTATTGAATTTAAATATTTTAATAGCAGGGAGTCATTCAATTGCAAACCTGAAGAAATAGTCGATAATGCTAACCATAAATGAAATCGATATTCGGATTTCTTCATTGTCATTACAAAGTATTGAGTTTGCTGATAACCTAAAAATTATTTGAACATTCTTGATGCTGTTTATTTAAACAGTAAAATCTCAATCATTTTGAATGAAGAACAATAACTCAATTTATACAAAATTACACCTTCAGTTTTCAAATTTATCCAGAACAATGAAGAAACCGAGATACTAAAATATAATTAACTCTATAGAGTGGAAACATACTTTTTTATTTTATTTTATTTGAACACATAAATATTGGTACAAGGAGGCACCAAATATATATGCGCCACACAAAACAATGAGAATTTAAGGAAAGGGGGAAAAAAAGGTAAGAAGCGAAGGGAATAAAAAAAACAAGAGAACAATAACGACCAGATTAGTGTAAGGTAGTGCAATAGTAGTAATAATGGGGGAAACGAAAAGGTACAATCAGAAGAAATCTTTCAGTTAAGGAAGATACAACCACTTTTTATGAAGAAAGTAAAAGAAGGTTACAGCAGGATCGCCATTGGCTTCTATTCTGAGCTATATCTGATAACATCTTTAGCCACAGTGTTACACCGTCTCTCGGACCCCAGCCAGGGAGTCGTGAAGGACCAACAGAAGCCATCCCTTTGCAGCTTTCTTTCATACCATGACACCATGTCATATACTGACCACCTCTCTGCTTTTTCCAATCAGTCCCAGAGTCGGCAAACAATGCACGACGAGGAATTCTCTGCGACGACATTCGTAGAACATGTCCAAGCCACCGAAGTCGATATTTCAAGATGGTGGCACCAATTGCATTATCGTCTCTGTGCCCGAACACACGATGCCGAACCTCTGCATTACTAACATGGTGTTGCCACTGGATGTCGGCAATCCTTCGGAGACAGCGATGATCAAACACAGAGAGTCGTCTAACATCGTCAACTCGGAGAGGTCAGGTTTCACAAGCATACAAGTTATTGTGATATTATAACTCTTGCAAAAAAGATTGTATAAATCTGATGTTTTTAAAAAATGAAGATAGAAATTGCGTTCATGCCAAAATCAAAATGTTTTCAGGTAACTGCTATCTACTTATTTATAAAGAATAATAAAACCATAAATTGAATTGTTTGATTACTATTATGAAATAGTTAAGTATTAATCTTTCTTAATTTTTCATGTTTTAAATAGCTGATTTTCATAGAATTTAACTAAGTTTCCCTAAATGAGTATTGAATAACCCGACATTAATTGTTGTAATGTAGTTTACAAGTCATTCTATAAACCTCTATGTGGTCAGTGAAATTTTTTTTACGATAATGTTTTACGTACAAAAATTAAAAACCCTGAATTCAACGTCAATACAAATCTATCATTGAAGTTAACTTGGTATGCCAATCTAAAAACATATTTCTTTAAGCGAAGATAGATGGTGGCTAGCAGTTAAATCTAGGACGCGAGCTTCGTTCTATTTGGGACTCGCCGGCTGGACGTACTGACATCCCAGAATTGATGTTTAATCATAATCATTTAATGTTGACATCATTAATTTCAAAGAAAAACTAGCATTATATTAGAGTTTCGTCAAATTAACCTTAATAAAAAGAAATAGTAAAAAATACTACTTAATGTGACCCTATCGTGACTACTACTGTTAATATAAGTAATACTGATTTAATCGGTGATATTAATGCTAGACAACTATGTATTAATATAATTACCTTAATCAATTCTAATAATTCGCAAAATAATCAATATAATGGTTTACAAGTTGATCATATAAATGTTTACAAAAAACATTGTTTAAACAATGTCACCATTTGTTAGCAAACAATACTTGTGTATCGTTGTGCACAGCAGGAAAAAGAAAATAACTATTGACAAAGTAAGTGATGCATATAAGCTAAACAAAAAGGGGAACTAAAATAGATTTAGTGCATTTAGTCTTTACTGGAACTTTTTCAATGTTAATTACGTTATTCTACTCATTGTTAATGATTTAAAGATAAAATGATTTATCATGGAGAACACGTTAATATGATTCAATAAAATTAATTTGGTTGTAATTATTACTAATAATTTGTTAGTAATAATATGTATACAATTTATAGCGAATCCTAAGCTCGTTTTCACTTCTGTGAGACGTGCACTAAACTTCAGGAACTCATTTAGTGCCTTAAATTCAACAGGGTCTCCACACGATTTTAGAATATTGTTGTTCTAATAATAATATGCTATAAAAAAATCAAGGTAGTTTATAATATTCTGCTATTTAGTTTGTTTGTTTGTTTGTATTTGTTAACATAAATATTAGTTAGAATCAGAATTACAGTTAAAATTGTGTAGTGAATAAATAATTTTTGGAAAAGTAGACATTTATTAAGTAAAGAAATGAAATATAGAGTAACTTCACTTTCACTTAGCTTTTCATCATGCTTCTACACTTGTATATATTTTCGGAATTATTAATTTTATGCTAAAAGTCAATAGTATATCAGTAAAAGTGAACTGATTAACAGTATTGCGGAGTATCGGATTATTTGCACTTTAGAAAGATGGAAACAAATAATTTGTTATTACTAAGTTCAATGATTTTATTTATCGAATAAGTTGAAATAGGTTATTATAAAATCGGTACATCAAATGGTAAACAGTTAGGGATATGGAGAATTTTATTATGTGTTCATGTGATATTCACTTAACTTTACAGTTAATCCCTTTCAATAATTAGATACTCATATATTGCTATGTTCACTAGTCAAACAAAATTGTCACCAAATTTCTTAGAAATATTTTACACCCTATTGCACAAAGTAGTGGATATCAAAACTCAGTAGCTAAGTGGATAACATGATGGCTTTGAAGCAAACGGCACTGGATTCGAATCTCGGAGTGAACATCAACTGAGAGGTTCAGGTATATCTAGCTGACGTGTCCCATATAGGACGAAACGCGCGTCCTGAATTCCGCTGCTAACTACCATTCCTCTTTGCTTATAATATTTATGACTTATGACAATATCGAGATAATCTGCACAGGATGCAAATACGCCAACGAGATAGAGATCAATTACAGTCCTGAAATACCAATAGGAAGATTCAAGCAACCAATGCATAAATGAATATATTACATAGTTTAACAAAAGTTGATTAACAGAAATTATTAGTTTTACAATTCTTTATTTATGGATGCTGGACACTAAGTTGACTTGAATAGAGTTTTTCTAACAGCATCTATAGTACCGCGTAGCTTACCGAATGAGTCTTTTATTTATCTACGAAGTACAGGTAAAATCAATATAATCAAACAAAATCTCGATGTTCAAAAAACATGTACAACCACTCTCAATACTCAAATCGGTAAAATAGCTTCTACTCATATCTGGTGTTTCGTTTATTAAATCATAGGGATTTAGAAGCAACTTTTTATTTTCTTAATTTTGAGAATCTCATTAGACTTCTGGCAATATTTTTCATTTTATGCTTACATAATCACTATAATGGTACTGATCTTGTTATAAAATTTGAAACATTCATATCAGTATGATTAAAAAAAATATTTCTTCTTTCAGTTGGTTTATTCTATAATTAATTGGTGTCTTTTTAGAATGTAGTCGAAATTGTGGCTAGCAATGAAATCTATGGCGAGTTTATTCTTATTTACAACTTACTATCTGGATGAATTAGTATTTGAGTGTTGACGTTCCCACTAGGTTTTGAAGCTAGTATCTACTGCTTCAAACAAGTACCTTGGATCCATCAGAAATATAATCAAAATGTAATAGCTTGCAAGTCCATGACATTTGATCAAGACAAACTTATATATAAAGGGCTTGATCGTTTTACTCATGAATATCAATAAGACGAAAATTGAAAATATTTTAGCTATTTATTTATGTATATTATTGTTTCCTTCTTTTAGATTAGTCGTAATCTACTCAAACGGTTTGGTATCACAAGAAATAAAATGGTGTAGAATTCAGGAACACATGTCGTTATGCCTGAAACAACGAAGTATGAGTTTCTTGTAGATGATAGGGTTTAGGGTTTTTAGTAGACTACCTTAAAATATGATTCAGAACTAAATACACTCCTTTGTGACATGGAACTATTTTGCAATTTTGTCTACAAGAATAAGTGTTTAATGATACTTCAACTTATGATATCCGAAAACTGAATATTTCGGAAAAATCCAATTATTTTGTGTATTGATATCAGTTGAATAGTCTGTGAAAAAAGGAGTTTTGTACAACACATATATTTTAGTCTTTTAAATCTCTTGTGGTAAACACGTTCGATTAAATTTAGGACTATCAAATATTTTGTAAGCTATATTTTATTCTAATTATTTATTAACTCTAACCGACCCTAAATAATTTATTAAATCAGTACACAATGGGCCTAGAATGCAATGGATTCTGGCTGCTGGAGACATATAAGAAGTTTTAAAATTCAAGGTTGCACGAATAATTTTGAACAGTAACTCATAAACCCAGGTGAATTAAGAAAGGCTATAACTGTGTGCCTTGAACGGAATTATCGATCTTCATATCATATCTAAACTGTACAAATTAAAGTGTGTTCATCATTGGTTATTAACTATGCTAACACTTATAATTTTAGGTTGTATTTTATTCTGCAAACATTGTTGTTCGTGCTCTGCTTAGATTTATCAAAGGATTTAGTTGTTTGGAATTTATTTATATTTCTCATGACAAAATTATCAACGTTCTAACATCACCAGAATTAAGATTGTTTCAAACTCTAAAACATCTTTCCTCTGTAGATGACAGTGTTAATTATTAATAAACTTTCAGGACACTGGTGTATTTATTTATTTACTTACTTACTCCTGATACCCCTCGTGGAGGAGCATAGGTCACCTACCAGCATTCTCCATCCAACTCTGACCTCAGCAATCCTTTCCAGTTGATATTCATGTTTTTATATCTGCTTCCAATTTCCGGCGCGGTGTGTTCTTAGGCCTTCCACTTTTCCGTTTCCCTTAAGGATGTAATTCAATGATTTCCGCAATGTAAGTCCTATTCACTTTCAGCGTCTTTTTCTAATTTCCTTTTCAACTGGAGGCTGGCTTGTTTCCTCCTACAATAAGCTATTGCTGGTGGTATCTGGTCAACGGACATTCAGTATCTCTCATGGACAATTGTTTATAAATACTGATACCGTTTGATGACGGTTGTAGTAGTTCTCCACGTTTCGGCTCCATACAGTAGAACTGTCTTGACGTTCGTATTAAAGATTCTGACTTTGATATTGGTTGACAGTTGTTTTGAGTTCCATATGTTCTTTTGCCAAACCTTACATTTACATCTGCATCCGATTCTCCTTGTTCATCGACCCCTTCCAGAGTTTCTCCATCAAATGTGATGCGGTTGGTATCCTCCGTGTTGTATTTGACGATCTTGGTTTTTCCCTTGTGTATGCTGAGGCTTTTACTACACTGGTTGTCTTTGTCTGTATTTGTTTGTGTGTATGGGACAGTAGGGCCAGGTAATCTGCGAAGTACAAATCATCTAATTGCATTCAAACTGTCCATTTTATTCTATGCTTCTCCTCAAATGTAGAGGTCTTCACAGTCCAGTCAACCACTAGAAGAAAGAGAAAAGGGGGGTGTAAGCAGTCTTGTCTGACTCTAGTCCTCATTTGGAATGAATCTGTCAGTCGTCCTCCATACACGACATTGCATTGTAGTCCATCGTATGAATTCCGGATGATATTGACTATTTTCTCAGGTACACCATAATGTTGAATAAGGTCCCATAAGGTCCTCATGTCCACGCTGTCAAACGCCTTTTCACAGTCAAGAAGTTGATGTATAGCTGACGAGAAAACACTTGAGGATCACTAGTGAAACTTAATAGTACATAATTATATATATATATATATATATATATATATATATATATATATATATATATATATATATATACTCGCATGTCTTTTTCATTTTGATATACTACTTACACATGCCACTTTTTGACTTGCTAGGTACTTGCATAAATTATATAAATTTTCATGATCAGTAAATATTTCCAATACATCATTTATTTCCTTGGCATTTGCCTAGGGGGAGAATAGAAATAAATAATCAGATATGAATATACTTATCAATAATATGTCTGTGTTTATAAATATGAATTTATATACATATGTGAAAACTTTGAAAGAATTATTGTTACAGTCATATGTGAGCCATATATGTAAAAGTATCAGCGACTTAAATTAAATAACTCTAATGTTTTGTCCTGTAGGTTGATCTAGATATTATCAAGAAATTTTTTCAATATAAAGTCAGACCAGAATATGAATTGATGTTATAGCTAAGAAATAATAAGTTATGGACTTGTTTACAATACTTGGACACAAATAAATAAAATTGTTAGTTTGAACAACTGGTTTTGTTTTCAAAATTTAACATAAAACACTAAATCTTAGCAGAAAATTATGATATAACAACATATTAACAAATCATTTACCTGTTTCAGTAATACATTCACCCAACGTTTGAACACTCTAACTTGGGTTTGAAGACATCTGTTATCTGTAGAAATGTAGGTTGAAAGATAAAAGTGTTAAAGTTTATTACTTAAGTCAGAACAAACGATATATATATATATATATATATATATATATATATATGTATAGTTAATTTATAAAGTGATTATTCGTTGATTATATTCAGTCCGGAAGTAAATTTAGTTAAAAATAAACTTCAGAAATCTTTCTAATAGAAGAAAAACTAGTAACTGTATGATGATTTGGATGTTAAACGTTCAAAATCACAAATTAGCTAATGTTAAATATTGTTAACTACACATATTACAGATCATCTGTTCGTTCTCTTAATGATTAATCCAAAATATCTAATCGTTTAAATTAAAACATTTGTTCAATCCCCTATAATGATCAATTCAATTGAATAATCCTAATGTTGGTTCATTATAAAAATTATTTTTCTGCCAACTTCATGAATTTAGAGAAAATTGAAAAAAGAAACAATATGATTTCAGTCAATCATTAAAATGATACAAGATACAAACATCTAATCGGTAAATAAAAAGTATTAGTGATATAATAAACTAATTTCATACATCTAGTTTGTTGTTTTTCTCTATGTAGGAAAAATATAGATTACATAACAGATGGTTTAAATTGATATGACATGTGGTTGAACATTTTCAACCTCGTAATTGTAACTATATAAGATTATGAAATAAATAAGTAACCAGTTTATTCTTGTCTCAGAGTAAAAAAAATTACTATGTAGAAGTAATGTTATGTAAATTTAGTACTAAATTATTTTCATGTTTTATAGTATTCTATTGAACTTGTTAAGTAATTAGTATTAATTGTTAAATGTTTTTTTTCTTTAGAAAAAACCACCACTTGTCTTATTCTATCATAAGGAAAACGATTTGGAAGTGTAAAATATGATCATTTCACTTGTCAGTAAGTTTGTTAACATAGAGATAATTTTATGTTCAGATAATTAATGTAGACACTTTACACCTTTATTAAAATACTATTCACTAAAGAAAATTTTATAATTAATCAGAATTGATCAAAAAGAACGATATGATCTATTTTATTATCTTTGAAAAGTTGAATATATCTTCATCAATGGTTAAGATCATGAATCAGTTGAAGCTAGACAACCATGGAAAACCTGTAAGCACTGGACGGCCATTTCGTCCTATTGTGGGACTCCTCAGCAGTGCGCATCCACGACCTTGCCCCCTACGAGACTCGAACCCAGGACCTACTGGTTTCGCATGCGAGCACTTAACCACTAGACCACTGAGCCGACATTCAGCGGTGTTAATGTCTAACTTCAACTAATCTACGAAATTGAGCGACACATCCACAATTATCTTCAATGAGTTACTATCTCACAACAGACCTGGTTGAACTCCATTGGTCACTACATCAATAAAATAAGATTGGGATTTTTGACAAACATTCATTCTTTTACAATCAACGAATACATTAAAACTTGAATAACATATTCAATGAATTTAAAATTGTGAAAAAATCAAAGTCCTTAACATTTCAAACTTTCTTCAATAGACAGTCATCAACTTATATGTTAGTAGTAAATCGTTACTTTTGAAGAGTTTCAGTCGAGTAAATTTCATATAGATTTATCTTTCAAGTCAAGTAAATTGATTCAAAAGTAGTAGGGATTTAAACCATCATCATCATCGATTAGATAATAACATTTCACTGATTCAAGTTATAACTTAGTATAGTATATTTTGTTTTTACAAAGTCTTTAAATCTTATTGTTTTTCGTTTACTCCAGCATTAACTGACTATCCTATTTGTTCTAACTCTGAAAATACTATTGCTTTCATGTATGAAGCAACAGGTGACTTGCTGAAACTATAATGTAAAAAAATCCACCTTGGAATGCTTAAGCAATTAATTAATACAATATACAATCGTCTATTCTACTTGTTATATCCTAGTGAAGATTACATTACGAGTAACGTCTGAGACCTATTAATGGACTAATATTATTTATATATTCCTATGGTATAAATACTCAGTAACTAAATTATGTATATCTAGATTCCCCTTGTTATAAGCTTTATTTTGACCTAGATATTATTATTGTACGATTTACTGTTCTTAAGCTATGTTCAGATTATTGACTACGGCCTCCCACAGTCACAGCCACTTTTTGGCTTTATTGTATACAAGTGTTATTTCCTATTTTATGGTGCGTTGCGGTCTGTTTGGTTGATATATAAACTCCGCCTGGAGTCCCTCCTGGGGCTACTGCCGGTCCCAACCCGGATAAAGGAGGAGAGTTGGGCATGGGGTTAGCGACCCCATCCCGTAGAAAACTAACTCGCTAAAAAAACGCTAACCAGAAAAAATTATTCAAACTATATAAACCTAGTATCTCTGAAATAGATCATTCGATTCGATTCGCACAGTGGGAGCTGCTATTGGTGTTCTGGACTCAAGTGGACGGGCTAGGCGAACATAGGACCAATAAGGACGCTAGGCTGCTCATACCGGTCGAACGTCATTGGTTTGGCACAGTGCTAAGATTGTATAAGTCGTATTTTGATTGGCGTATGAATCACGTGATAACTATCCGGACATAAAGACACAACACTAATGTTAGCTACCCACGATGAAATATCCTCTGCATTCTCTATATTGACCAGTATGGCAAAAATATTGTCAGTACCTTTCCAAATATGCATTCGAAACACAACCAATGATGTGATAAAGACATTTTGTTGGCTCAAACCGAATAAATATGATTAATTGCCAACCATAAACTCATATATCAATTACGTAATCAACTATTCTAAATCTATTAATGAAACGTTTTGATTCTGCCAACATTGATTCCGACTGAATAATGTTTTACCTATTGGACAATGAATTAATCAATAATTCTCTTGAATACTAATTATCACAAACTAAAAGTTGTGAACTGTATTGTAGAAACAACATGAGTTAATGTACGGCATTTACTGACTAGTATGAATAATTGAGTTTCAGATACTATCTGTATCGATCCTAACAGTTTAATATTCAAAAACTTCACTATAGAAATCACTAATTACATCAGTTTGGGAAAAAAGAATCAATTAAATAGTTGAAGATTAAACTGCTTTTCAAACTGTGTTTATTCAAATTAATTTTGATCTCCTTAACAGCATCGTCATTATCAACTATCTATAGTTAATAACTACAGTTTTCTGGGCAATTTGTATAACATCACAATAAGTGTGATAATGACCTGATATCAACTGGAAAATAAATCACGAAATGGTTGGACAGTTATTTTGTTCTAAATTAAGACTTCTCATTATATATATATATATATATATATATATATATATATATATATATATATATATATATATTGAAGACGACCAAACCAAAACGTGGGATCAATCCTTGAAGTCACTAACGTTTGGTCTGAACCATGTTGGTAGACGCAGACTATTTGGTTGGCGTCCACGCAACTATTGTAACCAATGGTTGGAGACTCTGAGTGACCTGGCCCATAATCGATTACAGTGGTGTAGGTGTATGCACTCATTGTCTTCCCCTAAACTGTGAGATTAAAATTACTTCATACCTTTCTTTCTACGAACCTATTATATCCTTATATGCAATCTTTTATATATTATCACCATTGACGTAGCTACTATGAATTCGGTGTTCATCTTGTTGTGCTAATAAGGTGTGGCAACTTGAACCGATGCATATATGTGCTTGGTCCTAAATTGTAATTGACCGATATATATATATCAAAAAAATATTTCCAAGAATTCCACGAAAAACTCCTTTTTATAACCTCTAATAAACATCTGTCAGTTGCTAAAAATTGTGAATAAAAAGAGCCCAGCAGAGAAAAATACACCTATCATCATACTAACCTTTGCATAGTAATAATAAAGAAATCAACGATGCGCAAGTCACGTAAACGAATGACAATTTAATTACAATTACGTTTAAAAATGTCCCATAAACTAGGTTAAAAAGTAATAATAAGAAGAAGACGAACGGAGGGAATAAAATTTGACTAAAAGGAAATTACTTTCACGATGTAAATGTCACGTATTTTCTTTATTTTACGATTGAACAATCTATAGAAAATATTAATGAATATGTTACGAAGTAATGTTCAGTTGTTGAAAATGCTGAATTTCCAAAAAGGTTATCAGATAATATTCATAAATATATGTTGATTTATTGCAAAGTGCTGTTAAAAATTCTACTTCAAAATTCTATCAGTACTTATGCATAGATCATAGTTTGTATCATAATATTATGCTAAATTCTAGAATAAAATTGATAGTATTTGTAATTCACAACTATTGTTTATTAAGAGTTTACGTATGAAATATAATAAGATAATCATCTGGTCATCGTTCGACTTACGGTGATCATTTAAATGATATTATGATAGCTCTAGATATATCCCTTGTGGTTAAGTGTAATCGGCATTGAATATACAGTGTTCAATACTATATTGGACAGTGAATGTACACTCTTAAGATGTCTAAAACTAAACTAAAATAATTTTTTAAGTCAAAATGTACCTCAGTAGTTTTTCACTTGTAGTCATTTCATGATTAAAACATTTTAAAACTGGTCAAATTCGATACACCACCTAACTGAACAGTACGGTTCACTTGTACATACTACTGAATTAAGCATTTTGAAATCTGATAACTTCGCTGCTAGAACCTTTATTACTTCCTAGCCTTTTACTATAGTCCCAGATTACTTCTACACGTCAACTCGAACAATCGAGAAAAGTTGCAAAATGTGAATAAGAGCTTTACTTCAAGATTAGTTTATGTAAAGAAAATCGAAAGTTGATTTTTCAGAACTTTCTGGAAACATATCAAATATCTTAACTGTATAGGTAACTATCCAGTCAAAATCATAACACGGAATTCTTTTTTTTTAAATATTTCTGTTGAGCTTTTACTTATTACCGATGGGATGGTATACTTCTTGATGTTTTCTGGGCTTCTAAAGATTTTGATGAAGGATATTTTT